TCAATTAGGTGTTCCGGTTGTTTTTTCATCTTTCACAATGAGCTCATTCATCGGATGATTTTGGATGTTCGATGAGACATCAACCAGCGAATCCGGTTTCTTTTTTGTGAGCGAAGTGTTCAGTGAATTCAAACAGGTACGCATTTTCAATACAATAGTTCTTTGAATTTTGTGCAAATTTAAGCTGGTTCACTGAAAACACTGCAGCCATTCGCGAGACGCCAAGTGGTTTGATGATTCTTGTGCTCCGCCAATGAGTTTGTCGTACTGCCCCCCACATACGGTCGCCACACCTCATTTGTACAACAAGCTTTGCAGCATTAACCTCGTTAGGAAATAAATTTCTAAACATTCCCATCCAATATTCACGCAAAATTCCAAATTCGTCGAAGGGATTTTCGGATGGAGGCAGTTTTTTCCACCCGTTGAATGAAAATTCCGAGGGTGGGTGTAATCGTGACTCCTTTCTATAAGCGCATAATCTCTTGATTTGATCGACCCCAGCATGTCACACCTACAGAATGGATACGAATATCTGACCTATGTTTTGTGGTTTATTGCGTTTGAGGACCCTGGTTCGTAGACGATAGCCGTTTCAACAGTTATATGTTCGATTCGAGCAGTAAAGCGGTTTTGGCTGCCTGATGTAAACGCGTTGGTGACTGAATAGCCAATCGACTAGGTACATATTTACATTGAACAATTTATCGTGGAGCACTCCACCATCATGGATCGAACTACATGAATCAGGGTGTTACCTTACTTCATTTTAAATGAACTATAAGTTATTTGTGCACACCATGTCGAATGATACGCAGTGAACTCGATAACATTTAGTGTTATGGCAGTGTGTTGTTTGAAAAGACTGGTTTACCAAACAAAATGCGGCACCGAATGAAAGTGTGTTCATAAATCACAGTTCGCACACACAATGCCAAATTATCCAGACTGATGAGGACACGTATGGTCTTTCAAGGCTGAGGAATACCGGTTCAACTTCACTGCTTGATGACAACGTGACCGTGCATTGTGTGAAGGGAAGTTTCGTTGTTTATTCAACATAGCGTTATGTTAACCGGGGGAACCCATCAGCATTTTTCAACTGGAATCGCAAGCACTGGAAAATCAAAACATTTTTTCTTTCATCAAATTCCATCCATTTTTCGTTTTGGTCAAAACGGATGTTATGAATAAGTGTGAACATTTGATAGCTGATAACGTTAGCAAAACGGTACAGCTCTGTGATGGAAACCACCCTAAAGTCCCTGGACAACTTCCTGAAATGCTCAGCTAAATCTGTATGTGAAAATTTTGACCCGAAATGGTCATTTAGTTAGACTGGATGAGAATCCCAGGTGTAAACTGCCCATCGGATTCATTCATTGGTGCAGCTTCCTTGAAATCAGTCTTGATGTCCTTTCCAGAGTAATGCGATCTGGAAAATGGGCACGCAAAATCACTACCGGATTTGAGTTTTTGTAGAAATGTTGATGTTCTGCAATTCTGTTATTTTGTGGGAGTGCGAACTTCAAAAGATAAGACTAAATTCGTCAAATAAAAGGTTGACCGAGAGTGAAGAAATCAATGGACAGATATAGCCCACAAACGAAACCAATTGCGCAATTTCCTTACAGTTTCAGTGGCACAGTGCACATTCGCGTGTGCCAGTGATCGGTGTAGAAAACAGCACGGGTGTGGTGCGTGTGGAATTGATCGCTCTCGATATAAGATCTCAACCAATAACGCGGAAATGTAATCAATTGGTTAGTCAACGATCAGTTAAAGTTCACGCGATCGATCGATTGTCTTATCAACAAATGAAACCATCTATGAGCAACTGCTGAACTGCGTAGTGCATTGGATAAATGCTAACGTACCGGAGTACCTCAGAGTATCACGCCGTATAGGCAAACACAGTTGTAACAGTAAATGATTAAAACGGCCACGGTGATCGGAGTTTCATCAACAGCGTACAATATAATGTGATGAACACTGACAGACAGGGCCATGTAGACAACCACGTATGCCTAAAACCGTTGAGCTTTCATTTTCTCGATTCGAGCCAGTTGGATCAGCTAAACTATCTGTTGCAACTAATCCATTATCTGTTTGCGTGTTGTGAACGACAGTGACAGTAAGTCTTCAGACTCCCACAACCAACTCGATTAACTCAGTTGAGTCGAGTTATTAGCCTTTACCAAAGGTAACGCCAACAGGGGCATAAATTCAACTTTCGATTCCTAACAGAAAACCAATTCAGGTTTTCGATGGGAAAAATCAGAGCCACGAAGGTATCAACGAAATATGGAATTTCTAGTAAATCCACGTACATGCTCCCAAGAGTAAACCTGCAAGTTTCTAAATAGAAACTGTTGATCAAGAACACGATTCTCAGACAATGCGATGAAATTCACCACTGGCTTCAGATTCTGTTGTCAATCTACTTTAGCATTCGCACGTGTTCAAGTTCTGTAAGATTTGGAACACTCGTGCATCGGCCACAACTGTCCGCCCCATCGCACATCCTGCATGAACCTCGTTACTCCTGTCCTTTAGGGCTACCGTAATTAATGTGATTAACCTTTGAAGGAATGTAAGCAAAATTGCTCCGTGGGGCCTTTCGAAAATTTTCATTTCATTCATTCAAACCCATACACCGAAAACCTTTGCTTACAAGTCTAACCCTAGGGTCCCCTTAATGTAGTTGCAAACTACGTGAGAAATGATGAGCACGGAATCGACAACAGGCTCGAGCAAAATTCAACTGTCTCGAAAAATCGTTTGAAGCACTTTATCCCAAGTTGATGTGCCCTGCATATACAAAAACACAGGTGGCGGTAAAAGCGATTCATACGATTACTTGTGTCAGGACGGCACTGAAATTCAGGACAAATCGCGATGTCAGACCACTGTACATAATGAGTGAAGAGTTACAAACTCAAGTGATTTGCGTGATATATATATAACGCACACCACTTGCGTTTAGCATGTGTGACGGAAGTTGGAAACAACACCGTGGGGAAGGCTTGATTAGATGTCAAAAGTATCACTGATTCAATGAAGTCCCGCGATTCCGAATAATTAAATATGAAGGAGTCTTGAAGAGGGTGGACTACTACACAACCATGGTCAAGTCACTTTTATGCCACTGGACAAGTGGTCTTTGGCAATCAACTATGAATCACGGAGCACTGTTTCACGGAGTAGATAGTTGGAGGTTATCAGTGACAATGTCTGAGGACGTGATAGGTATTCTACGGGTAAGCAACCTCTCCGTAACACAACTGAAGCATACTAGTCGAAAGCACAGCGACGTCATCAAAGCTGACCCACCATTGATAAAGCCATTAACACCCTGTTACCTTAACGGTGGTAGTTCGCTGTGCAATGGCTAGAGTGCATCCCCGAAGATCAAGTGGTACGGAGGATGAAACTTTACTAAAACTGTTCGTGGATACATCCAGGAAGTAGGCTTATTCTCATATAAGCGTATCATCATCTTTCACAATCAATCTGGTAAAATACCAACAAGAAAAACAATGCGGAATGACTCTAGCTCGGAATGCGGATGTTGGTGTGTTCGCCGAGCTGGAGCACAAACACCAACACCAAGAAGACAAACCTTTAACATCAGGTTAGAAGATAATTATTGAATCTGTGCATCACATCAAAACCCTAAAGAAACAGTTACGGAATGGGGTCTCCATTCAGACCATGAACAAACATATCAAATCCTCTTAAAGTAGACTAAAAGTAGCATCACTTTATAATAAGACACACTGGAACTATACGTTGAACCCATCCCATTGTATGCGTGTAGAATGGAAGAAAGGGAATCATGTCTTCTAATTCAAGTACAACTGGTATTTTCGACATGAAGGGGTGCGAAAATAGATACGGGATGAAATGAGCAGACAGTGTGTGACCTGAAGTGACTGACATACAGGCCAAATGACCAATGCGAAATGATCAACTGAGAATGATAATGAGATAAAGAAAAAGAGGAGAAACAAGAGACAGTGATGGGAATTCCACCACAATCTGACGGTGCAGCCCCTATAAGGCAACGACACCACAAACGTAAGTGCCTTATTCGTACGCTGGCACATAGTTCGACCTCATCCATGCACGGCCTGATACCAGTAGCCTTTGAACGGGCACACGGTCATGGCGAGAAACAAAGGTGAACGGGAAGGTCGTACAGACGGTCGATAAAAACAGGATCGAAATTGTAACGGAACGAATGGAAAGACATCTGTTTCCGTGTCATGTGTTTGTCCATCTACAAATCGACGAAACTTGTCTGTCGATTGAAAACAATTGCACCTCAAAACTAAACATCTCGAAAAACAAGTTAGCACAGAAATTCAAGAAATGGTGGGGAAAGAAAGCATGTGTCTGGTCAGATCGACTAGGAAGAAAAAAGAAAGGCAGATAATGTGGGTATATGGTCAAAAACAAGTAAAGACAAAAAAGTAACGACAAAAAAACCGAGAAAGCAACATGATCCATGGTCAATGAAACATGAAGCGAACGGCGAATGCGCTAGGCTGCCGAGCAAAAATAATGACTATCTAGAAAAAACCAAACAGAATATCGCGAAACGCATATACAAAGGAGAAGAAAGCGAACAACCAAATCAAATTCACTGTCTTCAAATGTGTTCGTACAAGTACGAATGTGCCACTATGAATAGGGGCTGACTAGATAAGGGCATCAGAGGAGTTAATCTGTGCCAATAAAGCGAAAATGAGCGAAGGGACAAAGCATCGAACAAAAGCACGACGCACACAGAGATCTACGCTGTCACACCATCATCCAATTCGACCGCACTAAGTCCCAATTCGAGGCGTTCGGTTACTTCATCTACTTCATCTTCGTCCAAATGAGAGGTGGGGCTACTACGCTCGGATCCCGTAGCTCCGCCACTTGGCAACGGTGTGGATCGTCCAGAGGCAGATGGAGAGGCTGGGGCAGAATACGGCCGACTGATACAAAAACTGCGTTCGGAATAGCTGTCACCGTTATTTATCATTGGTGGAGGATTGGTGAATAGCTCAGGTGCATGCCTGTGAAGAGCCATTACACGAGCACGTCGATAATACTACAAGGGAAGAGGAAAGGTCATAGTAAACCCCAGAAATTAACGTTTGACATGGTCAGAATAATACGCTAAAGGATTTGGACGTTTAACGTATCTATAAACGAAGACAGAAAATATGAGAAAAACACCTCTATATATAACACCAATCTGAATCTGATACACCTTGCCAGCCAACAAAAAAGTAACCTTTTAAATAAAGAATGCAGAAGTTTTAGTAGCTGTACAAGACAAAATTGGCAGGGTTCGGCTTAACGGCGCGAAGTACATTGAGCGGACATTATCATTACTGGGCACTGAACAACATGTAAGTCGATGTGCAAGGCACGGTCAGGATCTAACTCGATTTCGAAACATAACTCATGAATACGCCCTACCCACTGCCTTCTCGTGGTGGTGTTTTTCCACCGAAGTGAGAGGATGAAAAGCAAACATTCGGCGGTGGTTGCCCGGTGGTAACGTCATCAAATTATCACCCCGAGGATGTATGTTCGAATCACACCACCAAGGCCTGACTTCCCCCATTGTGTGTTGAATGGCAGCCCTTTGATTGGCCGCTTCCCTCTTCCTGAAAATTGCATCTTTGTATACTCAATAAAAGGAAGTAAAATGAGAAGAAAAAAGGTACATGAACCACTAAGGAATTTGGTTAAAATCCATGATTTCAAACCAAACAAGAGGAGACACGAGGCACTGAGGGCACGATGCTACTAGGTTGCCCAAGTTACGGCAGGTGGATTTTTTGGGGAAATTCACAA